CCAAATAGGAGCAATCCTATTCTTTATCCTTTGGTCCAGACATAAAGAACATTGACTAATCATATGCTTGTTTACTGAATCGATTGTTAGGCTGGGAGAATACCGACTCTCACTTCGGAGCTCCCACGTTCGCCTCGCCTGAGGGCTAACATCTCCACTTCAGTACTCAAACAATAGGACCGAATTAGGGATTTTAGTCTGTCACCCTAAAATCTCCAATTCTACACCCATCAAACTTTGTTGAGAATTACATAGCCCTCTCGGGTCTTAATGCAATTACAATAAATTTTAACACTACAACAAGCCTTTATTGTAATGTAAATAAAGTGCAAGTAAAAACCATCGCATTTATAATTAAATCCGCTTCTAACATGCGTCCCAAAATCCTAAACATGAATTCTACTCATTACAAAAAAAAAGTAAAATGAAAACAACGGCATAATCCTGTCATACCATTATTTCCAAAGAAAAAGAGAGAGTAAGAGAAACACATCACAAAGCACGAAGAAAACACAACGAAAAACTTCATTTCATCAAAGCAAATAAACTAGATAAGTGTTTAAAAAACCATAAGATAATGAAGAATACAATACTTAGCTTTTTTCCTTTGAAAGAAAGAAGAAAATCTCTCAGTCTCCCGCCGATCCATGCAATGCTAGAATATCTCCTTACAAATTCTCTCAAAATCTCCTCTCCAATCTCTCCAAAAGGGTAGAAATCTACATTTCTACTCCTATTCTAAAAACCCTAAACTTTCTCCACACTTTTCTTAACATTCCTCTCACACGAGTTGCCACAAGAACCCTTTCAAAAAGCGTCTAAATACGTTGAATTTCGGCCCATAACCGCCAAAAGTCGGTCCATAGTCGTCCCGAGCGCCGTCGGCGAGCTTTTCTGTCATTTTTTGGTCTTCTCGGGTAAATCTCGCCATCAGCGCCGTTTTGGCGCCGTCGGCGAGCAGACTGCGCAACTCCACCGTTTCGCTCCGTTTAACATCGTTTTAGCTCTGTTTCGCCCCATTTCAGTTGCGTTGTGTTCCTAACAGATAGCCCTACAAAATAAGCATGAAAACAACCTTCCTTTAAAGTATAATATTATTCAAAAATATGCAAGAAGTGTAAAAGAGATTAAACATCGAAAGACTTATCAAAAGGTGACAGGGCAAAATTTCATTTCTTGTTGGTTTTTGCTCCAAATTGCATCGTTTTTGCATCTTTTTGCTCCAATGACCATAATTAATCATACCTGCAGCAAAACATCAAAAATACCCTTCTTTAAAGTGTAATATCATAAAAAACAGTATAAAATAGGTATGAAAATCTCAACATATTTTCCTTTGGTCAATATTCAACTGTGTTAATAAGTTATTAATGAGTTTTTACACATTTAACACCAATAAAGCCTTCAGTAACACCCAAAATCAAAGCAATACAACACATATACAACTTCCAAACACATTAACAAAGCAAAATAGGTGTCATGCGCTCAATAATATCCACTTACACAATCATAACACACCCTACACAACCAGTACGTCGTTTAGTGCCATAAAACACATTAGTAACACTTTAAAGCAAAACCATACACAACATATACAACTTTAATACACCAGATGAATAAAACATATGTGTTATTAACGAAATAACACACAATAAAAATAGTGAGATCCATCTGTGTCATTCAATTATTGAGTTTAAACACATATGACAACATGAAATACATCAATAACACCAAAAGAACGTTGTTATAACACGAGAATTATTCAGTAAGAACACCACTTGGGTAACACATCAATAAGATAAAGAAACACATTAGTCACAATGCTATAACACGGAGATATCACAACTATACCACATCAATCACAAATGGATAACATAATAGTAACACAACTTAGTAAAAATTGAATGCCAACTCCTCAATAACACAAGGGATACCTACAGTAACATTGCGATAACACAACAAAAATTTCATTGAGTTCCAAAAAAGAGACAATTTCTTGCAATGCAAAACAATACCTCGAAGACTTTGGAGCACTCTTTTGTTCTTCAGTTTGCTTGCGACCCTTCATTTTATGAAAATATCAAACCCTAAACCTCTCAACTTCAAATGAAGAAATGACTTTCCTGCTTTGCTGCAAATAATGGCTACCCTCTTTCAAATGAACAATGTTTACCCTCTGGAAACTCTAACTCCGAAATCTAAGAGATGAAAAATAGGGAAGCTCTGCTCTCAAAATGGTAATTTTTCGACTCTTAGTGCTCCTTTTTAAGGCAAAAGTATTTTCGTAAGCTCTTGGGTTAGGGTAAGGCCAGTCTGCAAACTTTATTTTTCTTTTTTTAAACCAGAATTTCATATGTGCCTTCACTCTTGAACTCGGAATGGACGCCTAACCAAATAAGCGCTCATTGCATACCGCCCGCGCCGTCTCCGGACTGAATAATTTTTCGACGGTAGGAGGCGACTAGCGCACAAGTGTTCCGACCATGCGTGCTTGCGTTAGGCTTCGCGTGGTTTTCGTGGACGTCGGTATCCTGAGCGGATCGCAGAGGCGACGAGGGCTGCAAAAGTGCTGGCTCCAACTCCGGCCTGATATCGTCACCATCGCCGACCTTGTTGCTCACCTTCAAGTCACCTTCGGTCTCCATAGCTCCTGTCCTCATGGGCTCATTATCTCCGTAAGCAAGCGATATTTCTTTTTTGGTTAATCAGGTGAAATAGGGAGGACATAGAATGCCTGATGGATTTCATGATGGGTACGGAGTAAACATATTCGTCAAATTTTCTACGCTACATAGACCATACTCAATCTATGAATAGGGGAAACTGTTACAGGAAAAAAAAAAGTATTTTTAACGTACATTCCACTGAGAAGGAAGGAAAGAGCAGAGGTTGGTGAGGAGGCGGCGGTTGGGTGAATTGAAGCTACTTATGTCAGAATATAAGTACATTTTTTGGTTTCACTATAAATTTTAAGCTGTACTCGTTTCTTGACATGGAATCAAGAATTATAGATCAATAAACTTTGACCTTGAATCCTGGCAACCCAAATGCATTTTATTAAGTTTAAAGGCCTTATTTTTAAAAAAAATTACATACAGAAATGAACAAAACTAGTTAGAGATTCTCATTGGATATTGAAATTGCATGTCTTTTGAGTTCCCACGTCTCAAATTGAAACTGCTTTCCTACATTGTTGTCGGCAGTGTTTATTTTTTGCCTTTGGGTAGTTATGTTTGGTTACCATTGAGAGAAATGAGATTTCTCTATGATTAGCAAATTGGCTTTCAAAGTCAGTGAGACATGTAAGGCAAGGTTCCACAAACACCACTCAAGCTGTGGTATAGTAAGTCCACCATTTTGTTGATCCATCAGGATTTTGATGCCTTTGATTTTCATGTCACGCAAACAATGCATGTCTAAGATGACGCACTATTCCATTGTATGAAAAACAATTCAGTATCTGTTTTTATGATAAGTAAATTAAGAGAACCTTCATAATATTTTCTAGCTAGTTTTTCAATGATCAACTTCATATATTTAACCTTAATGTCACTTTTTGTATCCTAGATATTCATTTTTAAACATAATGACACCTTTAGTTCAATACTTCAATGTAAAAAAAAATAGAAAAGAAAACTGCCCTTTATGTTTTATTCACTGATTCACTTGACCGCTCAGATTGACAAATGGCAGGCAATTATGTCTCTTTGTATATCACTTGATGCTTGGTCTTTTAACAAATTATGCAAACAAAATACCATTTTAGTTTCAATGATTGCTCAGCACTGTTTTCGTTTCCAAGCCTATTCTTTATATTTTTGTTCGTCTTGAGTACATCAGGTATTTTCACTTTTTGATAAACAGAGATTTGTTCAATAGTAATCTTAATGTCTTTGTAAAATATATTTATTGATTGCATTCAAAAGTTTATATGAGTTAACAGGTATTATAGCCTCGAATCATGGTTTATTTGTTAGAATTTGTATTTATTTTTTGAGCAAGAAACTTAAGTGATGCAACCAGCTTCAAATTGAAATTCTATCTTCCTGATGCAGCCTTTTAACCTTTTTTTTTTTTTTTGCAGATAGATGGTTTTGTTTTGCCATCTTTTGAATCAGTTTGCATTCTTAAGAATGAGGATGTAATCATGTCAGTTCTTTTCTTATATTTCCTCTTTGTGAGAATGCCTTAAAATTTTCATTTCCATGCATCTGAACCATCAGCTTGTTTCATATAAACATGCTGTTTGTATTTATCCATCTGCAATTTCTTCCCTTTGATATATTTATTTATTTTGAAATAAAACTACATTTTTTTTTATTGCAACTACTCTTTTGCCTTCTCGAACATGAAAAACCTTCCTGGGAAACTTCACGTTATCTTTATAGCCAAAGTGAAACAGCTGAAGGTTTTCCTCATGAATGCTTAGAGATGATGAGGAAGGCCTATCTACTATGAGTTGACATATTTGTGAAAATATTCACATTTAATATATGTAGAATACTGAACCCAGGCTTATCACCCCTCAAATCATGTTTTGCTATTTCTCTTACCATCCCTTTAGTTGCTAAATGAACGTTTTTAATTTATGCTAAATCAGTTTCATCATTATGTGGTTGAATAAATTTATGCTGAATCAGTTTTTATATTTTGTGGTTGAATAAAAAGCAATCTGGCACCTTAATATTGGTTTGGCGCATGCAGACTTACATTTGTACATCTAACCACTGCATTGTTCTTATGTTGTGTGCAGCTTATTTTGAACCAAGATTCTAGACCATTAAATTAATCTCATTTTCTTTGGAATGTTGAACCATGCATATAACAATCCATGCACAAATACTTAATTAAGCACACTAAAAAAGTGCTACACTATCCCGACTCTTTATTCAATGACTTGCTTGCAAACACATCTCTAACACTTTTTAAGTTTGGTTTATATTAGCGTGCGCTTCTCTTTTTCTCACTTCTTTGTCTCTCTATATATTATTCAATCATTAATAATAAAGAAAAAAGAAACGTGGCTATATATCAGCTGATAAAAAAGGTAATGTAGTCAACTCAAACGTATACATACATTACACAGCTGTAATATGAAAGCTTGAGGTGAGTAGTTGTTGAGCAGATTAGAAAACTAGTGATTTGTTTTTTCAAATTCTATGTGAATTAGTGGAGTGTGTACTTTTAATGTGTTGCTTATATAAAAACCATATTCATTCTTTGCCTAATTGTTTTGAATTGTACAAATATTTAAGCTATAGTCTGGTAAATAATGAATGAGTTTGAGACTTTTTCCTTGGAAATTGTTTAATATTGGGCCTTTTGTCTTGACTATGCTTGGCTTGATGGAACAAATCGAATTGGTACAACATATCAAGCCCGCTTGGAACTATTACCCAATATCGAGCAAGATTTATACATCTTCATCCCAAATATTTGTGGCTTGTTTACTAATGTGCCTTCGGACCTTGTTTATGCTTAAATTAATATAACAAGCTAAGTTAATATTTGATTTCAACCCGTCATGTTTTCTACTGTTGTGCCGAATGACCTACATATGTTTAGCTCTCAAATTATAAATTTCATGATGCTATGATTTTTTTTTAATTACGTTGTAGTCACCCTTTCTTATCAAGTTTTAGTTTTGTGGCACAATATTTATAGAAAAGGGATTTTTGATGTGTATCTTGTCTAGTTTGGGAGGAGAAGGGAAGGACATAGATGCTTGAGAGTGAGGGAGGGAGGTATGAGAATGATGGTACTTGCACCTTTTTTTGTGGATAAATAGTCACGAAGCACACATTTGATAACCATATTCGCTTACGATCATGGATAAAAGAGCTATAAACAAAGACTATATTTGTATTATTATTTACTAGTTTTATTTTATATTAATCAAAATTTATTGTAGTACTAGAGCATCAAACAATCCAGAACTTGCTAGCATATCTCTTGTGTGGCATGTTCTTCTCTCATGATCACTCCTTTCTATTTTATTTGATGTTGACTCGAGGCATTGAAGTTGTACATTGAGTGTTGCACACCGATCATCTCATTTTTGATCTATAATTGCATGTCGTTTGTGTTGCCTCTCACTGAGAGTATTTTTTTATCTCTTCTCTATCGCTATGTTCTCGAAAAAAAAATGTTTACGAAGTTATTTCCATATTTTATTTATGAATTTTTTTTTGTAGGTTCAATTTTGAATTTATTTCTAAAATTTTTTTGCAATGATAATTTTTTTATTTCATTTAATATCTTATTCCAAAATTTTATCCGAACTGTTCTAGCTCTAGAATTTTCTTACTTAATTCTTTGATTTTATTCTCCATTTAAATTTAGTAAATTTACCGTTACCGAGCAAGCAAATAATTATATATAGTTTAATAGATTATTTATTTATCCTAATTTGAAAGCCATCTTCTAAATTATGGCCAACTTGCTTGTAACATGCTTATTTTTATCATTTTCCAAACGCACCAACACCAACAACAACTCATTTTCCCAACCAACGCAACAACAACAACAACAACAAAGCCTTAATCCCACTACGTGGGGTCGGCTACTTGAATCCTTTTTATCATTTTCCCATCTTGCTTAAAAATAATTTTTAAAATTCAGTTATTATTGGTTATCTTTCTTCAGCCCAATTTTCTGGGCAAATTTTTACTTGCAACAAAAACTTGCCGATTTTAAGAGGAGATAACCTAGAGATTTTACCCATAACCATAATGGTAAATCACCAGATTTAGAGAAGGAAACAAATCCATTCAATCATGAAATTCCCACTTTCCAATGACAAAGAACCAATACCCAAATTATTTGACATAGGATATTAGTGAAAAAGCTCAGATTTAGAGTAAAAGTGAATGTACTAGATTTTGACGGTCGCATGGGTCCAAATAATTTTATTGAATGACTCTAGAAGTGGAATATAAGTGTAATCTAGTCACCATTAAATTAAAGACGAGTTCATTGTTATGGTGGGAAAATTAGGTCAATGCGAGTTAAAAAATAAATCACTATATGGTTCAATATGAAAGAGATGTTGCACAAATACCTGCCAACATATTATAGCCATACATATTCTTGAGGCTACCACTTATAGTAGAAAAAATTACTTAGTAGTGGAGTACATTTTTGAGTATGAGCAACTTATGTTTAAGTGTGAATTAACGGAGATCGAGGAGAATGCCATTATTCGATATTTTTGAGGATTGAGAGCGTTCATTGACATATGGTACAATCACATTCCTATTGAATATTATCGAATGTCTAGACCTTAACTTTGGAGGTGGAGAGATATAACATCAGTATTAGGTCCACACCACCCTTCAAATAGGGTTGAAACGTCAAATTGGGTATCAATAATACACCCATTAGAGCACCCAAACTGATCCTGCTGAGGAGAAATCTATCCGTGAATGGTGTGCATTTTTGCATTAATAAAAAATAAAATGTACAAAAAGAGCTATAAAAGCTACACAAAAGCAGTGTAGTTGGCATCGATATCCATAAGATTTAAAATGGCGCGGTCATAAGTGTGACTATCCCAAACAAAAGACCTATCCAAAGCAAGCCGAAAACAAAAATGGCCACTTTGTTAAATTCTCTATGGGTAAAAAAGAAAAGCACTTGCTTAAAATAAAAAAAAAGGAAAGCTAAATTTGATTCATCCCCAAATTGACAATGCTAGATCTTGGTATTCATATACTATCTATCCGAGGTGGATAAATCTATCCAGCATGGAGAAAAGGGAGAGGCCACCAGCATTCTCAAATTCGTCCTAGTTAAGAAGTGCTTCAAGTGCCATGACTTTGGGCACATTTCTTCGGTTGCCTAAATAGGAGGGTAATTTCTCTCACTTAGCATGATGTACTGAAACGCATAGATAATGACAGATGAGGCACTAGAGAGGAGATGATACGAAGGAGTACCGACTTCCATTTGATGAGAGAGATAATAGTAATCTGATGGATCTTCAGATTGAGTCCACGAGAGATCAACAGTGGCTCCTCCTTAACATATTTTGTATCCGTTGTACTGTAAAATAATAGATGGATAACCTCACTATAATTGAAGACAGTTGTGAAAATGTGGCTTTTAAACAACAGGCGGATAAATTGAGCCTCACTACTCCAAAGTATTGTTAACTATTTTTTATGACTTGGATGAAGCAGGGTTAGTAAGATTAGTATTAACAGGAGATGCCTAATGGAATTTTTTATTGGAGATAAGTCTCAAGAACAAGTGTGGTGTGACGTAATATCTATGAATGTTTGTTACATCCTATTATGTTATCTTTGATAATATGATTGTTTTTATAAGAACACATTATTTTACCAAGATGGGAAATAATTATACTTATACCTTTGAAAGAGTCAAAGGTAATGGCCATCTATACAAATTTTAGGATGTGGTGTCATGAATTATTTTTTTGTAGCTCTTAAGTAGTACCAACAAAATTAGCTTAGGTTTTCCAAGAGTCAATGAGTTTGAGGAGTCGATATTAGACACAAGATAGCCCTAACTAGGTTAATTTTAGGATTTTTGGATGTATAGTCTGTCTCATTGGTTGTCACTATTGAAAGATGTCAAACATATCATCACTTCAGATAGAGATACATTTTTTGAGCTATTTCTGGAAGACTCAATGAATTAGGCTGGTACTAAGTTTCAATTCGATTTGGTAGTGCAATTTAGGGACAAATGACCAGAAAGAAGCTGTTAACTGTAGCTTTAGAAATCTCTTTAGGTGATATTTTTGGAAAAAATATCCGACAGTGGGATTCAAGGCTTCCAGAGAAAAAAAAGCCTCTCTTAGTATGGGTGGGCGCGGGAGTTTTCTGCTTCAGCAATATTCCATGGATTTACGAATAGGTGGGACCTCACAATCTTATGAAATTCCTGAATAGGAAATTGTGGATTCCCGCGATCACGAGAAGGCTGTTGCGCCCAGGACACTATCCCATCACCTATTTCAGTCGGTTTTTCTTTATTATTTTCATGTTTCTCTATTTCTAATTAGATTGTTTTCTATTAGATAATTTTTATATTTTTTGTATCTGGCAATTTTGGAATTTTTAGCTTGATCTTTATGTGTTGATGATTATATTCTATGTTTTCTGTCCTAAGGAGTACTGTATCCT